CAGGTGGCAGGTGGGGAGGCCGTGGGCCTGCGATTCACCCCGCGTGGGTCGCGCCCCCGACGCCACCGCGCGTCTTAGCTTTTCCTCCTCCTCCTTAACAATCAGCGGCTCGGCTGAGCGATGGGGTCCCCGGGCCACCGGGCCTCCGCTGCCCAGCGCCCTGGCCATCGCGAGCTCGCTGCACCTCCTGCCGGCTGCTGCTCCGCCGGGGCCTTCGCGGCCGGCGTTTCGGGGCCGGGCAGGGTCTGGTGGGTGCCACCCTCCGCCCGGGGTCCCCGGAGACAGCTGGGGTTGGGCATCCTCAGCAAGGGTGGCCCGTGATGCCGGCAGCGCCCCGTGCGTGACGAGGACCTGGGGAGAATGTGAGCAGGCGGCTGGGAAGGTGTGCGCAAATGTTCTTCACCTGGTGATGGATGCTTCCAACACAGGACAGACGTGACGGTCGGTGTGCGCGGCATTCATCTGATAATCATGCCGGATTCTGGCGCTTTCGGGTCTGTGCTTTGAATAGAGACCCCCACCCCCAGATTTGGAAACGGAGAGATCATTGATCTTTGGGCATGGTGTGCCTTTTATCATAGCCCAGTGGTTTGGGGCTCATTTGGCGGCTGGCTTCCCAGATGTGTGCTGTCGACCAGCCTACCTTACAGACAGGCCAGGCCCAGTGTTCTGCAGAAAACAGAATTTGTCGTGTGTTACCATCTGGACTTGAGATTTTCAGATGCAACTTGGACCTGCGCCCCAAATATGTCTGTTACCTGGTTATAGTTGAGAAACTTATCTTCAATGATAACTAGGACAGAAGTGTTCCGAGCTTGGCCTCATTTTTGTTGTGGGCTTGCAGTGAGCCTTCAAACCAGAAAACGTTGGTGGAGAGGAACAATTTCTCATTCATCCCCTCCCCTTCTCTATTAACCGTACCTTCTCCCCGCCCCCGCCCCCCCAACCCCAACCCCTTTTCCTTTGAGAACTTAACACAAGGAGAACGCATTCTTAAATTAAGAGACTCGTTATACAAATTCTTCAGGAGTTTAATAGGTTGGCCACGTTATTAGTCTCACTTTTTTTTAATGCCAAGGCTTGTTTAAAAAAAAACAAAAACAATGTTATGTTCAGTTGGGTTTGCTTTTCTGCTTTTAGTGAGGTGGTCTTTTAAAAAATGCTTTGTATTTCTCACTGGAGCCTTGGTTGCTCCGGAGCAGCCTGGGCTGAGGTGCTGACACCATAATTAGTGTTGATGAATCTTCCCTCGCCCTTCACAGTGCCCTCTGGCTGCTGCTGCTCCACTGGAGCTACAGCCGCGTACCTTGTGATGGTGGCAGACTGCAGTGGTCTGGACAGCCTGGCGGCTTGATGGAGCTGTGGGAAGTTTATTAGGGTAGTGCCTACAGCTACTGCATCTATTCTGTTTTCCTTCCTTCCGTGACAGCAGTTCAGGATTAGAAGACATTCAAGAGAGAAAATTCCATCTTCTAAAAGAATGTTTTCAGAGTAATGAGTTCCATTTTGATCACTTCCCACCAGCTTAAAATATACAAGAGGGAGGGAAGCGGGCTTCAAAAAGTTCATGGGAAAATTCCATTATTTTTTCCTTTCATTTTTTTCCAGGAACGTTTTGAGGTTCCCCCCTGTATGTAGTTATAATTAGCCCTGTGTTCCCTATGTGCCTGGGTGAAATACTGGCTGCTTTGCTTTAAGTAACCAGTTTCCACTGTGGATAAGCTGGGCATCTTTCCAGAGAACTAAGTTCATTGCCTTTGAAAAGAAGTCCAAGCCCCTGCTTTTAAAATCTGTCACATCTCTCCTGTTTATTGAATAATCATTGGAAACTAGAATAACAAGTTTAAGTTGTTACCAATCAATGATATTGACTGTTTTTTTCAATCAGGTCTAATAAGTTTTACATCATGTGAAATAGGAACTATATACAATATGAAAACAGCTTACCCAAACCTACTGCCATGGAATCTGTGCTGACTCAGCAATTCTATATCGAGTTTGAGTACAGCATCATCTTTCTCCCAGTGACTGGTAGATTTGAACTGCTAACCTTGTGATTAGCGGCGGAGTGACCCAGTAGGTCAGGGTAGCACTGTCCCTGGTGGGTTTCAGATACCATAACTCTTTATGGAAATAGAAAGCCTCATCTTTCTCCCAAGCAACTCTGTCTTTTTAATTTTGTTGAATTTTTAAAAAATCCGTTTCTTAGGATTTGTGTGAAAGAGAAAATATTTCTACATAAACCTATTATAATATCTTTAATGCAGTATACCGCTCTTTAAAAAAAAATGAATTTACCCTAACAAAATAGTATACAAGACTGTTTTCTAATTTGAAGATATGGTTCCATTTCAAAGAGACTTCAGGGGATATTTTTGCTTAAGGCTTTAAAGATTCTCAGGGTACCAGTTTTTAGGTATACATCTAGCCTCCCTTACACGAAAATTCTGGATTCCTTTAGAATCTGAAACTCTATTGCACACATACCCCCTTTTGATTAGATTTTTCTCTTTTTTTTTTTATTAGATTTTTCTATAGACACTAACTGCAATGTTTAGTAATGATAGTTGGGTACCATTCAGTTCTGGTCTCATAGTAAAGAAGAGAGTTGTTCATGGAGGCAGTTTGTCACCATTCCATTCTTCCTCCGATCCCTGACTCTTCTTCTGTTCTAGGTGAAGAGAGACCAGTGGGGCCTTGGGTGACCACTTAGAAGCTTTTAACATTCCAGGCACCATGCAAGGAACTAGGAGATAGAAAAGCAGCATTAATTATGCTATTAGGCCAACTAACTGGGAAATTTTAATGGGTCCTAGTGGTGTTTTGTGAGGGTGTTACATAACCAATTGGTTCCAATTCATGGGAACCCTTTGTGTGTCAGAAGTGTACTCCATATGGTTTTCCATGGTTCAATTATTTATTTATTTATTTATTTGGAGGTAGATTGCTAGGCTTTTCTTTCAAGGTGCCTTGGGTGGGCCTCCACTGCCAACCTTTCAGTTAGTTGAGAGCTTGCACCCCCCCAGAATTCTGATTTTATCAGAGTGGTGTACTCAAGAGTCCTGGGCATCTGGCAGGTGGTTAGAGTCCCGTCAAGATGTTTTAGTAATTTACCCACCCATCTTTGGTTCTGAGCCTATAATTGTTGTCTAATAGCCTATGATTGTTCTTTTCTTTTTCTTTTCTAAAATAAACAACAGATACTTGTATGTACTTCTCTGATTATTTCCTTAGGAGGCACCATTAGCAGTCAAATAGTTAAATCTTGAGAGGCTTTGGTACCTGAGTAACACATTCATAAATCATCTCTTAAACTAACATACTTCTGTTGAAACTAATCTTCATTTGATGTTGATTTTTATGACCTTTAGGGTTTCTGCTCTCTTACCTTCCCCCAATTCTGGTATGTAACGGTCAAAACAAAAATTTCGACTTTCCTCACCCCCCAAATCTGAGTAGCATTGCTATCAAAACAAAACAACAACAAAAAATGGGCTCAAACCAATTTTCTTGCTCCCCCACAACAAGCAAAATTCTGTGGTCCCTTTCCCTGTTGAAGCTGTCCCGTTAAGAGAAAGTCTGACATATTTCTGTGGCTGGCTAATCCTTATTTGCTGTTGAACGGAATACCTTAAAACCTTCTCTATGCCATGACAAGGGTGGTTGCTCACAGAGTGTGAAGTGATGTCCATCATCTGCTGAGCCAGCAGTAGCGTAATAGATCTCCATGGGACCTGAAGTAGCAGGCCTGAGCTATAAGCAGATGTAGAGGGTACTGGCCTGGACTACGTGTGTAGGTCCTGTTTTTATGGCACAGTTTGTTTTGTCATCAGATATACTTTAGAGAACCCTTAAATGTATTTAGTGGGATATGGTATGTGCCTTTGGCGCACACACACACTGCTTGGCCCTTGGTGTTCATCAGCCAGTGGCTACTTGAAGTGTGAAGGAGTACAGAAATGGTGCCGGTTCATGTAGGGCAGTGGTTCTCAACCTTCCTAATCCCACGACCCTTTCATACAGTTCCTCATGTGGTGCTGACCTCCAACCTTAAGATTATTTTCATTGCTACTTCATTACTGTAATTTTGTTACTGTTATGAATCATCATGTAAATATCTGATATGCAGGATGTATTTTCATTGTTACAAATTGAACATAATGAAAGCATAGTGATTCACCACAAAAACAATATGTAATTATATATTGTGAAATATTTATTTCTAATTCCAAATAAATGACATTTTGTCTTGGGGTAGCATGGGTAACAGTCTTCATGCCAGGTACTCGTATGTGGGTGTATCTGCATGTGGGTGGACCCGCCTGGAGAAGGATAGAGGAGCGCTGTCTCGGTTCCTAAGACCCTTGGAAATATCTGTGAAAGGGTCGTTTGACCCCCAAAGGAGTCGGGACCACAGGTTGAGAATCGCTGGTGTAGGGAACAACGTGGAGAAATTGCAGGAATGGTTTTGAATCACTTAGAGGAATTTTTATTTGTGTTCATATGTATGGCCATTACTCCTGTCATTTCATCTTACAGGCCAGAACACTGCTCCCTCGTGTTTCTCTGAGGCTGTAAATCGGTGGGAGTGGAAAACTTCCTCTTTCCCTTGTGGAGCTGCTGGTGGGTTTTGAACGGCCAGCTTTGTGGTTAGCAGCCCAATGCTTATCCCACAGAGCCACCAGGGTGCCTTATATTTTGTATAAGATGGATACAAATCTTCTGTGACTATAAATTGACTTCCATCTCATCCAGTGTATTTGTGCCTTTTTTTTTTTTTAACTGTGTGGTATTTGAATGAAAGGATCCCTCTAGAATTTAAGCTTCTTAAGCATTAGTACCATGTCTTTTCTTCACTGCTGTATCCCAAGGTGGGGGCGACTGGTAGTGTAGTTGGTTATGAAGCTTGAACTCACCGCCCTTCTAGGGGGACAGGTGCGGCTTTCTGCCCTTGTAACGATTTACAGCCTTGAAAACCAAAGGCAAGTTCTCCAGAACTGACTCAGTGGGAAGTGGTTGTTTTGTTTTGTTTTGTTTTTAATATCCCAAGCACAGGCCTCCAGTATGTTATAGATGCTCGGTTAATAGCTGTGGAATGATTGATGAATAAGAGAATGGAGGGTCTCGTGCCTTACCAGAGCTTGTTGACGGAGGCAGCTTGTTAAATTGTCCCAAGTAAAGAGAAGGAGTACTTTGATTATGTGTGCCTTACGAACTTGTGTTGGCTTAAGGGAGTGGGTGTTGTTGT